GAGTTCGGATAGCTGTGACGTACGAACCAGAGAGGACTAATCACTGAATTCAAGTTTTGTGCGCTGCATAGCTTGATTGAAAATTTCTTCTCCTGCTCTCTTACCAGAGTATTTTGACTGCTTGAAATTGACGATTGAACAATTTTTGCAAATGGATGTGAGAAAAACCTATGGTTCTGTAGAAAAATAAAACGGATCAATAAAGCTATTTGATTTTTAAATTTCGCTTCATAAGCATCGAGTATTTATTGAGCAACAGTTTGATTGCTAGGACGGTACAGGAAACAAAATGACAGGTCGTCAAAATTTTGCAAGAAAAGGTTCATTTTTGTAAGAAAATAAAAAATCTCGACGAAATCGAATCACATACAGGCCGAAATCGATGAGCGCTATTTGCTCACATCAGGTTTAGCACAGGTAACCAAGTGTTTCATTCAGTGTATGGTAATATATTGTAAACTATTCATATGAATGCATAGGAGATAAAAAGTAAAATTTTGAGTTGAACCGTTTTGTCATTTGATCGATCCGCCTATCCAAATATACGCCCCACTGAGAGGGTTGATTAGTCAAAACACTATTTATTTACCAAGCAATACTTTTACCATGGTCGTCGAAAGTAATTCTCTCTCTCTCTCAATGGTCTCCGAATTCCTTTCGTCTTGGTCTGTCATTCGTATTCAGTGGATTTCATCTTTACTGCATTCCCGATTAACAATTCCGAAATACATTTGTGAAAGTCTTATTGTTGTTCCATATAAAGGTTAGTATAGCACATTGCTATAGGTCTGCGTAGAAAACGGTTAGATATTTTTGTTTCATGTTTATGCCGTGTCTGGATGTATTTTTTTGGTCCAATATCGAGTACAGTCAATTATCGCCTCGCAGTTGGGAGTTGAATATAATCAAAACCTTTCTTTATCCTGCATTATTAACAGGCAGAAGTTAGCTATCTTGACAGTAGTCGTCTGTGGTTATGATGCGGCATGTATTGGAGGAAACTGTTGGACAGTCATCTTGGTGAACCGCATGCAAAAGCGACTGACTCCGGTGCTTAAAAATGCAAAGGAACAAATAGGAAATGGACGCGAAGATGAAAGCCGTTTTTTATGAATAAATTCTATTTTTGTTTCTTACTGTGGCTTTGTAATTTTACACCGGATACAAAGCGGATATTATATATCAGATAGGTTGCGTCTGAAGTAGCCAGCTATCCAAAAGTCACCCGCTGTTGCAAACAAGGTTGTTGAGACGAAAATACACTACTTCCTGAGTACAAGTATACGAATGATTGGACAAATGATTTTACGGATACGCACGCATACCTGACGAGCGACAAGAACCGTGAAACCGGTCGTGTGCTTTCAGGGAAATTTCGTCCGGTCATTCACATACTACTTATTATGATGTATATATGTATATATATATACATTAAATATTTGCAAACCGGTACACGGTTCAGGTATCCTGAAACTCGTGTGAGTACAGTCGTTCGCTACTATGCTGGACTATTCACTGTGCTGTTGCTCTTGACCCCTTTCGTTCAGTATGATGATTTGGTATGGAGAGAACACAAATATGGCAAACAAGCACACTTATTCCGGTGTTGCCCAATCATGTCAATATAACGCCAGAGATTTGATTAATCGCTACTGAGCATGACCTGGGAATGAGAGGGCGGGGTTGGGGTGAGATTCGGTTTAGTCTCCGCACATACACACATACACATCTAGGACCTAATTGCTCTCCACATCGAATGCGGATTTAATCAACAGTCCATTATCACGTTGTTCTGGCGTTTGAGCACCAGCCAGCTGATGATGAATGTTCCACACGGTGAGATCGAATGTTTTGCACAAACCACTTCTGAGCGCTCAACGAGTCGCGGGGAGTATGGGAAAGCGGTGGGGTGGAGTGGGGCGGGGGTGGGGGTGAAGACGGTTGTTACCGTTGATTGCATCGAATGCAATCTGTCAAGCTGCATTACGCGCATTAAATCGAATGAATGGAGCGAATTTCGCGCTATTTGGCATAGAGATAACTCATTTGCGCCCGATGAGCGAGCGAGCGAGAGAGAGGCACACATGGAGGATGTGTTTTGATCAAGGGTAAGCGACGGTTCTTCAACTCGTTTGAGATTTATCCACGGATTGCCGAGAGTTTAAAGCATAAATCCCAATTACACATTCGTTATTTTATTAGGCTGCAAAAAAGTCAGTTGTTTGTACGCTTTTCGGCTATGGATGGTGCCATTTTTGTAACAACTTCCTTTGTAACAACTTGACCTGAACGATACTGGAGAATAGTAATGAGAGAGAAGGTGAAGGATTGAGGTCGTCGTCGTCTACGGGGATGAATTTCCTGTACAGGGCAAGAAAAACAAGGACAACGATTGGGGATCGATCCTGGACCCTCACCGACAGAATGGATCAAGGACGGATCAAATCATGGCGAATCTAAGGTTCTCGCTCTCTTTCTCTCTCTGTCTCACACACACAGAGTTGTTTAGAGCTCTCTAATCTGTTCAGTCTTGTTCCACACATGCTGCCAATAACCCCCAAATGCCATCCAGTCTCCAATTGAGCCATGTCTCGTCAACCGAACCTACACCCAAAAGATGTGATAAAGTGTGTGTGTGTGTGTGACGTAGATGTACGATATATTCTCATACGTAGGAGCATCAAACCTATATCGGCCACTCAACCCTACGCTATGGGGTAATTGAAGGACCTGGAACAGGCAGTTATGTTCATTTTCACCTGTTTGCTGAGCCTGACAATCTATTTGCAAATCGGTCAACACCGGCCGATGTGAAATCTCGGTGGACATGACGAGACGAAATTCAGTCCAACCGAGCTACGGAAAATCGAGTCGGATTACTGTTCTTAGTCGCTTGTGTCATACAGTTTTGATTGCTGAGGGGAATAGCGTTTGCCTTGGGTCGTTTGAAGTGACAGACACGTTTTTCCGTTGTTTGTAAACTGTGCGTCAGTTATGTTACTGATTGTGCCAGTCCAGTTAGAAATATTTTCACACTCCAACCTGTCCGTCAGACAAAATTCAGGAAGTGACTAACAGGATTTGCCGATTCGCCGAGACTGCAGATAGTAACACAAAGTGCGAACAGTGCCCGGCTGATGTGAACCAGCAGACCCTTGCGTTCCCACTCTCTGTCGGAGGAAACTCTTTTTTGAAGATGAAAAACAATCAACATTGTCCCTACGGACATTTACGAGCAGAAATCCAAGCGAGTACTAATCGAATAGATCAGACGGATCCGATGATCATTGA